TTTCCCCCAGAAAATGTGTTTCTGTAATGAACCTCTTGTGATTGTATTTTGGGGTTGGTTGGTTGGTTTCATGATTCTGTGTGTGTGTGTGTGTGTGTGTGTGTTAGAGAGAGAGAGAGAGAGACTCTACTTGCCTCATTAAACCAGAGAAATGGATGTCTGAACACCAACCTGTTGGTGGTTGGGGTTGGCTGGAATTCTCTCAACGGCCTTCTGGTTAGCTAATAAAATTCTGGTCAATCCTTGGAAACCGTTATGACCACAAAGCGTGGTTTTTCATAACTGTAAGATCCAGGGGAATGGAGGAATCATACTGAGGTGAAGAAATCAGTGGTGTGCTGTGCATGTACAAGACCATATAACAAAAGGGAAAAATAAGGTTGCAACAAACTCTGGAGTTCCCTGGCTTTAATTTTATGCTGTTAAAAAAGGAAGCATTATTTATCCCCTTTTCAAGGTCTCGCGGTGATTTTTGCTAGGGATCCATCAGTTGGGTGAACATTAATATGATTCCTATATGTGTGAAAATAAAAATAAAAATAGCATTAACAAAGTAGTTAATTAATAAATAAGCTATGACATGTAGAGGAGACAATCCAGAGAAAGAGTCATGTGAGTTAGGTGCATGAATTTATAGCTGGCCAAGTTGGACCTGGCAAGGTGGAAATCTGGAGCCAGATAAGACTGCTGTGTAAACAAATGAAGGTGCCATGATCCTAGCCAGAACAAAGGGCTGTTATGATGAAAAGTCAAAAGAAACAAACTCAGGTTTTAAAACTTGAGGACACAGACTTATATATGGGTAGGTGCTTAGACTCTACAAGCCAGTCTGTCATCATTAGAGCTATTTATTATCTATAGTAAAATGTCCCTACTTAAGCCATGTCCAGAAGTCAAGTCCATAGCATTTGCAAGAAGGGGCGGTGTTCAACAGTGACAAGATAACGTAGTGGTTGGAGTGTCACACCGCACAGTGCTCCATCAACCAACTTGCTGAGGTTGAATCTTTCTTCCCCCACCCCCAAGTACTGTATGTATGTATGACTGCAGTTTTGTGATCCTAGTCAGGGAGACAATATTGCAGTAAATGTTGAGCTGACATCCAGGAATTCATTGCACTGAACATAGAACCATACTCTGTGCAATTTACTAGAAACCATGCTGGCTGTCAGGCTGAATTTCTGTGGTTGTTTTTATGGGGTGTATATCTGATGGAATGTAACTGTGTTTATTTAATAGGATAATAAAATGTTTAATGCTCCAGGAGGTAGGAGGGCCTCCTTCCTTGATTTCTTCACTTGGCTGCCAAACTCATTGGAATATTAGTTCCATTGAGAGACAACTTAATTCCAGTTTACTCTGGGATTAGGCCAAAGAAACACCTTGACTGACAGTACAAAACACGGTGAAGACAGTACAAAATGGGAAAGGAAAATCACATTTAAGGGAATTTGGTGGGGGGAGGGGAGGTTAACAAGCATAAACACAAGGTGAAAGATGCAATAAATGTAGCAGAAAAGCAATTGTGTCCACACTAGGCCTAGGCCAATCTTTGTGTGATCCTGAAGAATGATTGGATGAACCTACTTTCTGGGGGAAGATTTATAGCAGTTTGGAGGGAGACAGCTTCTTCATATTTCTTTTCTTTAAAAAAAAAAAATTGAAGTAAGCATATTTTGGGGGTAAGTCTCATCACGGGGCTACAGACTCTGGCAAACAACCATCAGTGGCCCAAAGTGGATGAAGGAGAAAAATATTCTAAGCTTTGGTCAGCAGAAGAAGAGACGCCCATCAATAAGGAAGTTTTGGAAAGAAACTTCCACCTCCCACCTGGGGTTGCTCTTCTGCCTGAAACACTTGGATGTCTAAGCAAGTTTGCCTTTTAAAATTCTCACTGAAAATCGTGTTGAAAATATTCTCCAGCACTGACACTGTAGAGAGTGTCTGCTATCTTAAGATCTAGGTTAAAATTGTTTGATATTAAATAATATCAAATCAATTAAATAATATCAAATAATAAATAATAAAATAATGTCAATCATTGGTTGATATTAAATGATATCAACCAATCTAAAACATGATTGAGTCCTGCTCAGATTAAAAAATGGCACTGGGTCAAGAGGACTTGGGACCTTTCAGGAGCCTGTTTCTTCTCAAACCTGGCTTTTCATCAGCTCTCCACACTTATAAGGCATAATGATAAACTTTTCATTGAAGAAAGAGTTGGAAGAAAATGGGTAGATCACCGTGGGGCTTGTTAAGTGAGAGAGGTTTCAAGATGGTGCAGGCATGAGAGCTAGTTGCACATAAAGATGATTTTATATATACTATTCAGAAATGCTGACGGGATATATTTGACAACACATGGTATGGCAAAATACTGGTCTGCACATTACAAAAGGAACTTTTTCTCTGACACCTAGAAAATGGGAGGGTTTCAGAGAGTAGCAGAATAAACTGAGACTGCAGAGCAGGGACTGAAATCAAAAGAACAGTACCTCTCCCTTGATTAAAACTAATTTTGCAGCCACTGACGTATTGTTTCAGAACCATAACTTTATTTTTTAACAAGGGCAAGCCCCACAAACCAAACATTTATATATAAAGAAGCCTGAAATGGGAGCAGGCCGGCATGAGCAAAAACTATGGACAGTTTAATGCACGCTAAATCTGCTTGTCCTTTCTTTGTAAAAAGCAAAACCATCTGAGAAACGAAACACTTTATTTTTCTTTATTGAATAGTGATGGGCAAAGCAGATGCTCAGTGCAATGCTGTTCTCGGTAGGTGGGTTGCTTTGTTCCTGTTGTGGGGAAAGAGAACATCCAAGCAACACAAAAACCTCTAAAAAGGAGGAAGGAGGAAGGAGCTGTCAGTCAGAGACCAGAGAAAATGTGTTATAGGATTAGGAATCAAAGATTAATTTTGCACAGAGGAGCTGACATCAGGGGATGCCACGACATTCAGCAGATCATTCTGAACTTTCCTGTTCCTGCACCACTGCTACACCTTCCTCATAGTGTACAGGCTTTCCATCCATGCACGAGATGACTATGTTTCTGGGTAAAGTCATTTCTTTGTAGTCACAAGGTGGCCGCATCTTGAAACCTTTCAAAGTACAGGTGGTGACCCGAAATAGCTTCAAGCTACGCTGTAGGTCATTCCCGTAAGGCACCCCTTTTGTAGCACACACAGCAAAGATTTCGGCCTTGGTGTCATGTACAAAGCTGTTGACTTGCTTGCATTTGGGTCCTGTCATCTCCCGTCTTTGCATCATGGTGTTGCAGTAGCGGTTTCCAACATTGCTCTTCGGATAGTCATAGTGTTTCATGAGAAAGTCCTCATAGTTCATGGCAAAGGATCCCAGGATTAATACTGTTGTTAGGAGGAGAAGTAGAGCATGGCTGGATTCTTTGAAAGGCATTACTGTCTCTGCAATAGCCGAAACAAGGGGAGCCAATGTTTGAATGGTTCAGTTTGGGACATTTGGAAGTGTAATATAGATTTGCCCTTTTGATTTCTCAGCTGCCTGGTTTATAAGGGATATTCACTGATTGTGTGCAGATATTGGGAGTCTCTGACACAGTCTCCTATGTCTTGATTTCATTTATTTTTAGCCTCAGAGGGGAGCAAAGATAGCTGAGCTTTGGGCTAGTGGCTGTTTATATGGTCATCAGGATGCTAAATGGTATGAGTTACAATATATTATATATATATTGTATATATATTATATATACAATATATATATAAATATATATATATATATTGTAACTCATACCATTTAGCATATATACCATATACCATATATATATTTAAATTTATTGGCTACCCAACTCCAATGGCCTCTATCAAACCTTGATGACTCAGTATACCAGTTTGCTGCCTTTGAGAAAAAGTCCCACATACAGCTAGAAAAGATTCTAAGCGTGCCAGCATCAACATATTTTCCCCTGCCTCATTTCCTTTTACTCACTGGAGATATCATTCAGATATCTGGTCATAGTACTGAGCAGGGTCACAAACGTAGAGATAGCTGGAATTTCTCTGAGTCCTCCAGATCTAGTCTATATGTTCTGGATGAATCCAGGAGGGATGCATGAAGGCTGAGCTGAGAGAGAGCATCTGGCCCAAAGTCTCCCACTGTTTTTTTGGTCAAGTGAGAGCACAACTTGAATTTTCCTGATTCAAATCCAGCACCTTATTAACTGCACTGTATGAGTTCTCTTTAGTTTTTAATGTCATTAATTTACAGTCAAAAGTTTAAAAAAGTGCACAAGAAAATCAGTTTAAAGAAGGGATCAGTGATAATAGTCTAACAGCTCTCCATAAAAATATAATAGAAAAGAAGAATAGAATAGAATAGAATAGAATAGAATAGAATAGAATAGAATAGAATAGAATAGAATAGAATAGAATAGAATAGAATAGAAAGATATAGATAAGCTAGAGATACAGATACAGATACATCCTACTTCAGACACATTATGTGAAGACCTAGCTCTCTGGACAAGGCTGTAATGCTGGGAAAGGTAGAAAGAAAGAGAAGAATATGGTTTATCTAGTAAACAATGGCTAAATAAAGGATGGTTTAGTATGGTGAATCTAGCAACTTTTTCCCAACCTATTATAAAAGGTTGCTGTAAGAATCACATGGGCCATTCTGAACTATTTAAGGACTTAACAGAAGAAAATATGCTAATATTTTTGTCAATTAGCTTTTGGTTATTAATACAGCTGGGGGGCATGAAGTCAGTGAATAAAATGTCTTACTTTCATTAATTTAATGAAATACAAATAATTATTTGATTCTTTTTCTGATAAGGACAAATTTGGAGACCTTTTTCCAGGAAATGTGGCAAGATTTCAGAAAATGAATAGATTAAAGTGTATCTCAAAACTTCTCACCCTCTCAAAGGGTTGCTTTGAGTATTCAGGATAGGAAACAGCTCTTCAAAGGAAGGGTGGGATAATCAAAAGTCATCAATAAACAGTACTGATGGTGTGAAATACAAATTTGTACTGCATTGACATATTATCCAATTCTCTCCTCTGCCTATTGAATAATGTCAATAGGAAGATTTAAGACTGATACAACTAGAAAAGATCTGCCCCCAGACTGAAAGGTGAGCATTTCAAATTGTTAGCATATTTCAATGCTAAATTAAATTAAGTATTAATTAAATATTAAATTAAACAAAGCCTTATATGGCATGGGTCTGGGTTATTTGAGGGACTGGCTCTCCCAGTGATGTCTACCCATCCCATCAGGTCCAGCAGAAGAGGCTTGTTGAAGGTTCTGTCCACTAGAGAGTGTCATCTCACAGGACCCAGGAAGACGGCCTTTTCTGTCACTGCACCTGCCCTATAGAACATAATCCTCCCCAAGGTCAGGCTGGCTCTGACCTTGACAGCTTTCTGGAAGGGCCTGAAGACCTGGTTTGCCATCTGGCCTGGGGGTCAGAAAGTGGCGTGGAACCCATAAAATGGTTGTACCATTCATGAATGACTGCATTCTCCCGTTGATTGTATTGCTTGGTTTTAATTGTTTTTAATTGTTTTAATGTTTTGGATTGTTGGTATGGTTTTTTTATTCTGTGTTTTTGGGGTATTGTTTATGTTTTAATTGTAAGCCACCCAGAGTCACAAATGGGCGATGGGCGGCTATATAAATTGAATAAATAAATAAATAAACAATTGCCACGCTGTAGCAACAGCCCTCGTGGAATCTGAATCATTTATGCATCATCTGCCTGTTGCCCCCTAACCTCTCTGGGTGTTTCTTTTGTTAGCCAGACACAATCATGTCTTTTGCATGATCTCCCTTTATTTTCCATGACTGCCTGGAGGTTGGGTGGACACTAGAAGACTCCTAATTGCTACTCAAAAAAACCCCTACAAACAGAAAATGAAGGAAACTATTCTAATAGTAAATATCCTAGCTCCACTCTGGATGACTTCATAGGCACTTCCATGTAGGTTTCTTGGCAATAATATGGAAGCACTCTGTCACTGTTTTGTTTTGTTTTTTCTTTTCAACTTCCCAGTCTAGCCCATGGTCTTCATACTATCCAGGCTCACCCAACTTAGTTCCTGAACTTCACTTCATCTGCTGTTAAGACCTAAAATTAGAATCAAAGAGGAAATGGAACAATACAGCTTTAGGATTGAAATAATTTAGATCTTTTCTAGGTTAGGTTAGAGGTATAAATGTGTTCATATTATGTACTTCTGAAAATGAAGTACGTGAGTAATGTCAGTGGGTCCTTTTCCACTTGATAACAACCAGCTTGTGTACTTTGTGTTATCATTCTTTTAAAAATCTTTTGTTTTTGTAGTCAGGGTTGGTAACTAAAAATTAATTAAAGCAATTGAATTGACTTTAACAGTAAAAAGAATTAGCATGTTTAGTCACTAGGAATTAACATAATTTTGTAATTTCTATTTGAATAGTTTTGTTTGTATCATTCAGATTGTTGTAGGAATATTAGTAAATAGTAATTAAGTGATTAAATAGTTGGCGTAAATCAGGGAGAAAATCGATGTGGTTGCTAGGAGTCGAAAACAGCTTGATGGTACATAATCATTCAATCATTTGTAGTGAAATGATAAGTAATCCTCATATTGGGAGGCCAATCATCATGGAGAAAATCTATGTGATCACTAAGAGCTGACACTGACTTGATGGCATATAATCAATCAAACAAGCCATTCTCAGCTTCAGTTTGAATAGAAAAGTATGATATAGATTGAACAAATCTTGAATTGCACCAGACCATTTCTGAGAGAGTCTGTGGCCACTTACAGTGCCTTCTAGACTCATCCAACCATTACCGTGCCAGAATAACTGAATCCAGAAAGCAACTTGGTATCACCAATAGCTGGGTGAATGCTCAAAGTGACAAGTGGTGAAATAGCCATCAAAAATTAATCAGGTCTTTCCAAAGGTTTTCAAAGCATATCATGCTTTTGGACAGCTGCAGAATTTCAGATAGTCTTTAAAAAAAAAATCACTGCCGAAACAGCATTTAATAACTGCAGGTCATAAAAAGCTAGTTAATGATTGTCTGTTCTTCAGACAATCTGAAGAAGTGAAGAATAGACTTAGAAAGGAAAGGATGATTTCATCTTACTTACCTGCAAAGAAGATTAATAGGTGAGTTCCTTGTGGGGAAACCAACCATGGGAGGTACTGCACAGGAAATCTTGTCTGGTACCTCTTTTATTCTAGAACCTTTCATATCCCAACTCAGAACTGAAGCTTATTATTGGATGGGATGGTGTTTCTCTTCCCCCTCCCCCCAAAAATCCTAGATTGGATCTCTTTCAGTAAGAGTGCTATGACATCTCTGAATTGGCTAATCCTTCCTTTTTTAACCTATACCTAGGTTAGAATACTCTGATCTGTGTACACGCTTAGTTCTTTCTGTTCAGTCTTATCAAGGACACCATTTTAGAGAGATTTTGTAACGTTTTTTTCTTCTCCAGTTTTGTAGAATTGGTGTGGCCTACAAATGGTGTCCAACAGTTTATTCTCCATAATTAGCTTAAGCCTGTCAGAAAACGACAGACACGGGTTCGGTTGTCCAGTAGACAGAAGTTTTTTTATTGGGCACGTTTGCAA